GCCAGTGTTTGTTCGAAACACCGACACCAAGCCACCACTGTCATTTTTTATGATGATCAGTTGACCACCTAACCGTATCTTTAATTTTCAGAATTTGCTTTTTTCATATCAGTTACACTACATTGTCTTCAATATTGTTGGCTATATAATTTCTGATTTGTGCAGATTAGCTATCAAGCTAGACCATATCCATCTCAGTGATGTTTCTGAATGATGGTAAGATAGTAATGATCTATGATGTTGGACAGCTTGCTCGTCCATTGTGTGAAGAAAAAGCTTTGCTCAAATAGGGCTTTGCTTTACAAGGCAAGAAGTGGGTGTGGTCGGTTGCCGCAGGACCGCCCAAAGTACATTCCATTAGAAGTAAAGGTTATAGTAATGAAACGAAACTATAATTGGAGGTTGTTCGTCTGCCAAGTGACTTAGTAGCAGATATATGATTTTACTTCAACTTTGTGCGAGAAGGATTCAGGTATCACCAGGCAAAGGAGTAGTATATATGATGTTAACGTATTGGGTCCCTGAAAAGCCTATTTGCCCATTGCAAGCGCTTATCGCCTTGAAGTTGGACACTGTGATCAACGGTCATATGGATGTATATCACTCATGTGTTTGTGCATTTTCATTTATGTGTGTTCCTTGTGCTGATTCTGATGGCACTTATTTTGAAATTTGACATACTTTCCACTTGTACATTTTGATTAATTGGTCTTATCTTTCCACGATTTATTGATGAATATTGAAACAACATGCTCATAGATTAGCTAAACAAGCTTGGCAGTTTGCTTCTCAATCTTGTACTTCTACCTGTCAAAAAAAGTTATTCTGGTATTTCTACTATGCTTCAAGCGCTCCAAAACACACATTGAAAAAAATTATAATCCTGTTGCAAAAAAAATCTAATCCCGTAGCAACACAAGGACATGAACTTATTTGTGGATTTATTGGCGTACAAAAGAAATAGATATCGAAGATTTCTTTCTGCCGATATAAAACATTATCTTAGTCGCATCACAGAAAAGTCTATACAGTAGAGTTTGTGAGCTTGCGACGCCGCGCTCTATGACTATGTTAATTTCACGAACTTTGTCTTTTGGATTAAATATCACTTTAATGTTGATATTTAATTTTATAGTATTGTTATCTTATCGTGCGATTCATGTATTTTTAGTACAAAAATTTAGTTATCCCGTAGCAACGCACGGACACGCCACCTATCTATACCTAATACTAAAGAGGTAAAAAATTTATCACCCTAAATTTTTATTCAACCTAATAATCCTAAAGTGGTTCGTCTTCAGCAATCATACAACCGTCTCTTTCTTTTCTTTTCTTTTTTGTTTTAAAAAAGATGTTTCCGTCCGCCCCGTGTATCCTTCTTTTTCTTATCTTTCCGGCAACCGAGGCAAGCGGCGTGAGGATGACACCTGGCTCAAGTCCACCACCTGGGTACAGTACACGGTTAGTATTGTTTTTCCTATTCTATTTTTCCCTTTCCACGTATAATTCATATTTTAGTTGATTATATATATATATATATATATATCTTATTATTTCCTTCGGAAAAGCAACAGCAACGCATTTTTTCTTAAACTGAGTAGTTTCATAATTCCTCCTTTTTAATGTATATCTATACTTATATATCTATATCTAATAATAAACACATAAAACTTCTTGCCATAATTTTTTTCGTCTAACTCTGATTTCTTGTCCAGTACATTTATGGCACCTTAAATTTTTGTCCAACCTAATTAGGCAGTGACCTTTCAGCCTAAGTAGCGCTCGGTTTGGTTTCGTTGTGTCGAGTCTGTTCCGCTAGTTTTTTCCTGTTCGTTTATTCTGACTCCGTCTAGGGTCTGTGCCCAACTGCGGATTGAGTCCGTGTGTTCCTCAGGCATGACCTTTTTCTTTTTTTATTTTCCTAAATACTCCTATCTCCTATTAAATAAATATTGAAAAATATTAAATGCAGCTCCTTATTAAACCATCGATACTTGGCTTCGGTCCGACTTTTCTGGTTTTGGATTTTATTTTTTTCCTTCGTTCGTCTGTTTCCATTTATGTTCGATTTTCTTTTCCGTTCTTTTCCTCCATGGTTTTTTTGTTTTGGTTTATTTGGTTGCACCTTCTTGTTTTCCACCTGTTTTCTCACTATGAGTTAGTCCTTTTGCATAATAAAATATAAATACGATATTATGTGTCTCTAAACCATTGACCATTTCTCGCGGACAATCACTACCAAATTATTGAGGTAGTTTTTTTTTTGTTGAAGACTTCGCCGGAGGAGGGAGAGCCCCACCTAAATAATTTTTCATAGATTCTGGCAAGCCGGTAAATGGAGGATGCCAGGCACCTAGAGTTTACATGGTCTTAATCGTACAGGGCATTAATTCATGACAAATAAATTACACCAGTGATCAGCAATGGAACGGTCTTGGGAACGAAGGCGGCTGCTCCATAGGCGACATGTTTCCCTGCAGCTGTACAGGAGGCGGCTCAGACAGGGTTGCTGATGGCGAAAGACGACGTCGTGGCGATGGTTCCAAATCTGCCAGCAACACAGTAGTATTATCATCAGGAAGTGCTTAGCCGGGATATGTGGTGGCCGTGGCATCTCCCATAGGTGAGTTGGCTCCGGAAGGTTGACCCCAGTCCAGCCAATATGATTCCAGAAAGCCGAAGGAACCAGGCAGCAAAAGATGAGGTGATCGGCAGTCTCTGCCGCATTACCACAGAGTTGGCAAATATCGTCGTCGAGGACATGCTTGAGGTGGAGGTTGTAGCGGCACTATATGCGGTTGTTTACCAATAACCAGCCGAAAAAACGTACCCTGGGGGGCTCTCGGTTTCTCCAAACGAAGCTAGAGAAATTGCACGGGGAGCCCATGGTCTTGGATGCCTGATACACGGCTGAAGCATGGAGAGTTCCCAGCTGGCCGGCAAATTTGGAATATCTGCAAATTGAGGTAGTTTTGATTAGAAACAAAATTTGTTCTTATTGAAACCTAGATTATTCACCAATGGTCTAACTAATCAAACTATGAACTACAATGTTTAATTGTTTTTGTCTAATCCGGTCTAAATAAATGTGTTTTTGCAATCCCCGATGAAGGCTAGCATGTAAAAAATCAAGAAAAGTCTCCCTTCATAATTATCAACAGACAAACCAATCTCTAACATATCGGCAACTAACTCATTGTCGACTTTAATCATATATTAGAACTATTGATTTTCGAGTGCTCAAATATCACGAAACTCGATATAATCAAAGCAATACATGAATAGAATAAAAAAATAAAGTTATGATGTATCTAAGTCTAAATATTTATGTGCTTTGCAACAGGACAAAAAATATCAAGTTTGTATTTTAATTTGATACATTATCATAATATTGACACATTAACTTTTATTATGGATGTCATGTTCATCATAAAATAAATTATATGTTTTAATTTTACACAAAGAGTAAAACATAAATAACATGCACCATTTCTATCGTCATCCACATAAATATTTAATAGTTTTTTCCCGTTGTAACGCACGGACATATTTGCTAGTTTAAAATAAAATAGCAACGATGCTTACATGCCACTTTTCTCACGGCCAATAATCGGCCAGCTCAATGTTAAAGAGATTATTATGGTTGGTGTATACCAGATTTGAAGTTGCATGCTTGGTTTATAATCGTTCTTGTCAGCCACTTGCTGGCCCAGTCTTCTTCTTTTTAAAAAAAATAAACCTTTCGTAGAAGTTTTCATCTCTTATTAAAAATTAGCAGTACTCTAGCCTCGCGTGCTCCCAAACAAAAGAAAAATGAAGAATCCCCGAAGTCCCTAACAGAGTAACAGCACATCTCTGCAGTGATTGGCGATCAAGAGTACGTAGCTTTTAACTCGGAGTAAAAGATCAAATTAACTTCATGGACACATAAGAAAGAAGCAAATGGCAAGGTAATACCATGTCGACAGCGCGCTCAATCCTTTAGGTGAGAGGTCGTCCTCAGCTAGGTTTCTTCCATGGTTGAACAAAGAACAGATCAGCCTGCACAAAATATAATAATACAGTTTTATTTCTGACGGCCTCTCCTACTCAAAATTTTACCAGTATGCAAACATGAATTCACCACTGTAGGAAATTGCCTGCTGCGTTCCATTCTTATTGTTCAAGGACTACCATTCTCCTGCTCCCGATCGAGTAAAGAAAGTTAGAACACTATATACAGATCATGGAGTAAAATCAATAAGAATGGGTGGCTGCTGGTTTCAGAACGCTCGGCGCAGCGTGCACGCTATGGTCGCAAAATTCAGGCATCATGTAATAAACGAACTTGAAATCCAGTACTAGACGTGTCGTCAACGCCCACAATGGACCCTCGCCATTGTGATCGTGTTCCTACAATGGACCCTCGCCATTGTGATCGTGTTCCTTTGTTTGTGACTGTTATCCTCTTAATGAAAAACGGGTGAATGGCCCGATCGCAAAAAAAAAATAGTAAAATCAAAGATTAACCAACAGTCCTATCCTTGCACGGTGAATAATTGAATGAACTCAAAATAAATTGTTTTCACCAGGATAGGTCAATTAATCGGTTAGTGGGATATTGTCAAATGTTGTCACTTTCTCTTATCCTAGCTAGGCACCGTTGTATTTGGTGAACTCCGATAATGGTTTTGTTTATCATGCCTAACAAATCAGCGCCTTAACTGCTCAGAGAGGCTTAAGTAAACCTGTTTTATTCTCTAGAATGCTAGTAACAGAGCTAAGAGTAGCAGGTCAAACTAGTCGGCAAAGTCAAACTCGTGAGCTACTTTGGCACCACAACTGCCTTTTCTTGTCACAATTATATATGACCTTTTCAGTTTTCACCAAGCTAAGCTTTAGCTGTGTATATATACATGAGAGTCTATTACAGTTGTACATTGCAACCTAAGGCTTGTAAAGAAGTAGATCGAATTGCCATAGCACAAAGAGCTACTCCTTGAGCATCCAACTGCAAACATATGGCGTCCAAACCTTTCTCCAAATCCTTCTTCGCCTTCTACCAATTTATTCAACGAAGGCTAGGGAATCCACCATGCCAGCACCATCACCGGCAAAGCACGAGCGGGGTGCCTACCTATCCTGTTATCATCCACGGGTGCCCACTAGCCTTTCAAGTTGATGATCACCTTCAGAACCAAGCTCTAGTTCTAGATATAGAAGGAGGTCTACTGAGGTCTTCATCTCTTTTCCCTTACTTCATGCTTGTTGCCATAGAGGCAGGTAGTTTCCTTAGAGGTCTTATCCTATTATGCCTCTACCCTTTTATGTGTTTCTTTACACAAGAAGTACAATCAAGAGTCATGGTCATGGTATGCTTCTTGGGGTTAAAGGAGGAGAAGGTGGCTAGAGTGGCTAGGGCAACGTTGCCGAAGCATTTTCTAGAGGATATAGGGAGGGAAGGGCTTGAGATAGTGAGAGGGTTCAAAAGGGTGGTAGGATTGAGTAGGATGATCCCTAGGATTATGGTGGAGGATTTCCTCAAGGAGTACATGGGGCTGGAGATGGTGGTGGGAAGGGAGGTAAAGATGGTGAGAGGGCGTTATGTTGGTTTGTTGGAAATGGAGAGTGAGAGAAAGTTAGGGCTGGAGAAGCTTGAAGGGACAGAGATGGTAGGGTTTGGAAGCTGCACGGGCTATTTTAGCCATGATTATCACCAGCTCTTCACTTGTTGCAAGGTTAGATGCTGTGCACCAACATGGTTTCTCTAGCTATGTTTTGCTTACTGCATCAATACAACGAATGATTTTGATATATATGGGCCATTAAAGATACTGCATCCATGCCATTCTCCTCTCTTTTACCTCCATTTTTATTCTTCCATGTTATGGATTTTATTGCAATTTTTGAGTCAGCTAAATTCAGTTTGACAGCTACTATTGTCCATCAGATGAGGTGTTCAATTGTTTGATACTAATTTCCCTTGCATGTACAATATGCACTATGCAATATTCCATACGGTCATGAATAATCACAGTAACTAAGAAGGGATGCAGAGAACAAAGATCCACAAAAGAAAAAAGTATAAATTATGTAGATTTATCATCATGTCATCAAGTATAGCATCATATAGATAATAATAATCTAGCTAACTCTTATTAATATGTATGATCGTAAGCATAAACATTATCCCATGAGATACACATTTATACACCTTATCATCAAATAATAACATTATTTGCAAACATAGATGGAATTGGAAACCTAACCACACTACGACAATCACATAAAAAAAACCCACACTATGACAATCAGTAATGCCATGCACTAGAATAATATCACTTAGCCAAATGTAGTTCACATTTTACGGGCTCAAAGCCACGCTCCTTGTACGTGTTACGATATAACAATTTTAAGCATCACTTGTGAACAGGTGTTAAGCAGAAGGACCACATGACATATGCAGGATTGTGGTGCTTATCTTTCTTAATTCAGTGCAGATAAACTTCCCCCACCATTTACGTGACATCTTACTTGCACGAGTTAGATATGCATTTTTTTAACCACTGGTTGTTTAAGGCAAACATCATCAATTCCCAAAAAAAAATCTTATTAACTAGTAGTAGTAGTATAGATGCATGCATGGATGATGTACATATCTGATCATTAGATACGAGATCGACCTTGTGATAGTGCAAAGTGGTGACATCTATGCAGATGTCCGTGTCTGATCGTAAATGACTAGTAGACAATACTGTGGTGCACTCGTGTGTTCATTAGTTTTGCAATTAGTTGGCCTTCATGGGAAGGACAATTCATCTGATGACACAACAGGTCATGGCATAAGCAGTTCTTTCTCCTGCAAGCTCAAGGTCACCAAGACATAAAAAACTAAAAAGAAAAGGGAAACGGCACAAATGATTTGTTTGATTAATTAGTTTACCCAAACTACTTGATTAGACCCAAATACAAGGTGCAATTAACTTTGGGTTGCCCGTTTTCATTAGCAATATGCTTCATGCCATTGAAGACTCACTGTCACTGATCAATATATGATCTCCAGTGAGAAAATTCACAGTAAAATGTTTTCAATTGTGAGGAAGCCTAACAGCATCACTAACAGTAAATAAAATGATTGAAGTGTTAACGGCTGCATCTTTTTTTGCAGAAACAAAATTGAGTAACCATGGTCAAAGGTGCTGTAAAATCAAAATAGTTTTCCTACTATAAATGCACAGAACTATGCCCTCTTATAGTTACGTGATATCTTGCCTGATTCCAATGTCTACTGATCATGTTCAAATCTTTGTAGTAGTAAGAAATCTGATCTCGAGAATTAACTTTACAAATAGGAAGTTCTTTGGCTTTTTGAAGCCAAGTTTCATTAGACTTTAGTCTCGAACTATTTACAGACATCTAAAAGTCAGGATATACGTTTTTGGGATCATGAATGCTAATCTAAAGTTAATTCTCATTTGCAGGAGGTTTACTTGGTGACCCCAGAACAAAAGAAACAATGGTCGACCTTGCCAAGAGACCAGTACCCGAGGCCCCTGATCTTCCATGATGGCAGGCTAGCTTTCAGGCCTACCCCTCAAGCCACCCTAGCCATGTTGATGTGGCTCCCGCTTGCTGTCCACCTTACCGTGCTCCGAACACTCGTCTTTGTGAACCTTCCATACTCTATCTCCCTCCCAATTGGGAGTGCGACCGGAATCACGACCCGGGTCATCAACTCCCCAATCTCTGGCAATGGTTGCACAAACCATGGAGCTCTTGCCCAGCCCAATCAGCGGGGTCACCTATACGTATGCAACCATCGCACACTCCTCGACCCAGTTTACATCTCAGTGATGCTGAACAAGAAGGTGTCAGCAATGACATACAGTGTCAGTTGTATCAGTGAGCTCTTGTCACCCATCCGGACCATCCGACTGACTCGAAACAGCGATGAGGATCGCAGGAGAATGGAACCCTTGCTGCAGAAGGGGGACCTAGTGATTTGCCCTGAGGGTACCACATGCAGGGAGCCATACCTGCTCCGGTTCAGCCCGCTATTTGTCAAGCTCGTCGATGAGGTATACCCAGTGGCACTGATGAACTGGTCCAATATGTTCTACGGAACGTCTACTGGCAGGTCCAAGTACCTAGACCACTTCTACTACTTCATGAACCCACATCCAGCGTACGTTGTCCAGTTCATGGAAAGGATGCCAACCCATGTGGTGACCAACGGCAGGAGATGCGAGAGCTATGAGGTGGCAAACATGGTGCAGAGCGAGATTGGTAGGGCTCTTGGGTTTGAACCCACTAAACTAACTCGCAAGGACAAATACCTGATTCTAGCAGGAAATGAAGGGGTTGTGGATGCAAAGCAGTAACAAATGTCAATATTGTTAGATGAGAATATATCACGGTACAGGCACTACTCTATATATGCACCCTATCATGAGTCAGCAGATCTGATTGTCCTGTATAGCATTGAGAATTATAGGTACTTTAAGTTCTGTACATGGGCATAATGTCAATTGATCTCATAATATGTATCTGGAGTGCCATAGCTAGTTATCCTTTAGATAAATAAGAAACTTATATTATGCAAAAAAAAAAAGCATATGCTAGTCTTAGTATAATGTATGGCATCATTCTTGCATCAGTACTGCTGCCTCTATGTGTGTCCGGTGCCTAAATTAGAAATGCAGATTAAGTGCATTCTGGTACCAACAAGAGCATTGCACCAAGGCCAACATTAATTACTTCCATATGCTTACCGAATAACTGGTCATTTGAGCAATGGAGTGAGTGCCAACACATTCCATATAGCAGCCACTTCTTTGATTACCAAGACAATCACTGGTAATAGACTGCAAACCAGAACTCAAATTAAATAAAAACCAATCTTCTATGCGAACAAGTAGAACATAATAGTAATAACTAATAAAGAATGCATGATAGTATCTTGGGTCTCATGTATTCATCTAAAACCGCAATTCTCTAGGTCATGACAAAACTCAAATCAATGAGTATATGAAATCAAATTACATGAAAGTATCTTCACATTCGAGGGATACACAAACCATGTAGTCGATAATAATGCCAGCACTATATCAGAAAAACTTAACTATAAAAGAATCAGACAAAACCCAGTAAAATCAGCAAGAAGGGTTGGCATTAATATGAACATCAGGAAGACAAATTTTGACTAATCCATAGTGCTGCATTGAATATAATTACAGAAATATAACAGCATTGAGTATTTATTTCAAAAAAAATAACAGCATTGAGTAAAGCTGGTCTTCTAGGATATCAGCCCCAAGTCATGGTACAAAAGACAAGAGCAAATCTCACTGTAGGTTCCTGGTCCTTGCTCAGTTTTAGTAATTCTCTTTTGTTTAAAACCTGTCAACTACATGTCCAAAGATTCAGTTTTGGGTTCAAAATAGTTTCAAATTTCGAAGCCTAGAAGGGCATGAATATAATCAAGGTTGTACCTGTGATCCAATTTACTTTAAAATGTTTCCTTTCAAAAAAAAAACTTTTTAAAACATACTCCCTCTATTCCAAATTATAAGACGTTTTAGCTTTTCTAGATTCATAGGTTTTGCTATGCACTTAGATATAGTGTATGTCTAAATACATAGCAAAAACAATGTACCTAGAAAAGCCAAAATATCTTATAATTTAGAATGGAATGGAGAGAGTATCATACTTCTTTCTTCACCCTGCAGAATTTTCAGATAGTTAATAACTATGCCAGAAAAGCAGATTAGTGACACGTCTAAACATTCATTAGTGACGCAGAAAACAGGCGTCGCTTACATTGCGTCTGTGACGTGAAAAGATCAGTGACGCGTCACGCGTCACTAATGATGGTTAGCAGTGACGCGTATAGCCAAAACACGTCTCTGATGTGAACCACCAGTGAAGCGTCTCTCAGCCAAAAGATCTCATCAGAGTAAGATCTCATCAGAGCCGTATTTTGGCTAGACGTGTCACTGATGACAATTTACAAAAACAAAAAAAAAAGAAAAAACTTGGTCTGGGTCTTTATATACAATCAGACCATGCTTACATTAATTAAACAACAAAAAGCTACTCAGATCTACAGAACTAAGCCTACCAGAACAAGTATGCTGAATTTAGCAATTACAATTACAATTACACAGATTTGTTTATCTAGTCCCTAGTGCCTACCAGAACATGTTTACAAAATGAAGATGGAGACTTAAAATCCTACACATGTTTACCACTACAACATGAATTTACCAAATTCACCACTGGTCATCATCTGTCAGGTGTTACTCACAACCTTGCCACTTCCATGTCTCACTGGAAAAGAAAACATGAACAAAAGAGCGGGTTCAATTGAAATTTCCCAAAATGAGAGATGAGAGAAAAATTGGTTTCACTAAAACATTCTAACCAGCATCTTTGGTTAGGAACTTTAATAATTTAATTTAAAGTTTAATAATTGGTTTCAAATGTTTAGAGCATTTAATTTAATTCAGTAGAATCTGACTGATCCTAACCAGCATCTTTGGTTCTTCAGAACACTAAACATTTTCATGGTGTAGACCCTACACTGTGGTCCATGTGCAATTTTCAAATATCTAGCCATTAAAAGCAGTTCTCACCTCCTCATTGATGCATACTAAAACATCACCAGCAGGTTCCAAATGTTTATGCGCAGGATGGCCTTCAGGTACCTGCATGGACACGACCTTCCAGTTCCAGCAATCAGCAGTAGAAAGTGAGTCTATGTAAGCCTGAATAACATACTAAGAAAATGGAACCCATGTTTGCAGAGAGAATCCTAAGAACGAAACATAATTTACAGAACTTAGTTATCAGTAAAAAATGTGGGAACAGATCTTAGTTATCTATTTACTGTTTGCCATACCAAATAATTTCAGGATGGGAGTAGGGCTGCTTACAGGATTTTGGAGAAGCTGCCACGCTTCAGTAGTGTATATTATTTCAGCAATAAGCATGAGAATCCAATAAAATTCGAGTTCAGGTAGATATATTTTCAAAGAAATAGATTTCATTTATATACATCAGTTCCATTCCAACAGCAAAAAAAACGAAAAAAATCCACACAACGTGACTAGAGTAACATAATATGATCAATCTAAGTATAATACTATCAATCCTAGTGGCATATCAAGAACTGTGTAGGTATAATACTATCAGTCCTAGTAGCCTGCTCCATATAGGGTCTGATATATGAACCAAATCATTGCTTGTTCAAAACTGAAAATTGTAAAGTGAACATGACATACAAATACATACTGTGAGTAGTAAGATTGTCCACCTTAGCCAAGGGTTTCACTGGTGCTACTCCACCCATGGACCAATGAACAAAAATTAATAGTACTGCAAACCTGAAAATTAATCAAATACATAGTTTGAGTCTGAGATAGAACATAAGTTCAGAAAATAGCCTGATATGACATTACAAAAAAGACAAACTAACAAGCAAGAAGTAAAAGTTTACTCACTACATAAGTAAAAGTTTACTTGGTGGAATGTGCTTTCCACTCAGGAGATCAAGCAAGACAGTGCCAAAACTGTAAACCACACTCTTAGGACTTACTATGACAGAAGAACAAATAATAGTTAAAAAAATAAAGAGACACAATCCAAAATATCTGAGAAGTAACTGCCACATCAAAGACCTACCACATCAAAGACGACCCTGTATGCATGCAGGTCATGAAAGAGTGCCCTCCCTTTGCTACTGCAGCAGTCCAACGCCCAAGCCACATAAAGAGCAGCCGTCATCCTCATTTCCCAACACAACAGATTTGTCTTCCCTGCCACATATAACTACCATAAGGATAAAATGCGACTATCATATATTAGATTGATAATCCACTTAATGATCGAAAATCCTAAATGCTAAAAGCTCCTGGCAGCCATATCCCTTCAAGAGTGTTAGCATTTGATAGTGCTTCACCTAAAATACAAGAGAAGCCACACTCCCGTGTCAAACAAGATCTAAATCTAAGCTAACCAACCAGCCCACAAGGTAAGGGCAGCCTACCGTCAGTCATCATGTCGCGGATCAGTAAAGTAGCATAACTTGCTTTCTTGGAGCGACCTGCCTCCATGATTATGTGTTAATTTGTTGATTCGATCATTAGAGAGCCTTAAATGCATCACCGCATGATTATGGCATGATATGCTGTGTTGGTTTGATTAGATGCATAGATGATCTTTTCTTAAGTTGTAAAGCTCAGCTTGTTTGGCAAGTGCCCTCCTACACATTATTATCATATTATTCAAAATTCGTCCGAGAAACTAAGGAGATGACAGCTTAACAGTAAAAGGCACACATTATATATATTTTAGTTTTTCTAGTGATACGAGAAGGACATGAGCAAAAAATCAGTTCATCTAGGATCCTACTCATGATCCCACACACCGAAAGCTTGTTAGTATTTTCAGGCTGCTCTTTGTGTCCTTTCGGTCAGATCAGACCACGGCTTAAGTAATTGCAAGCAGCAATGGCAAACTAGACAGACCTAAAGATACAAGAACTACACAATCGGCAGGCTCACGCAAACAAATCTAATAACCGTGGGGAAACACGAACAGCCCACCCATCCGACAGAGGAGTGAGAGATGCGTGCGTACCCTTGCCGCGGTGATGGGAGGACCGCTTCCTGGGGAGGAAGCCGTGCTTCGGGTGCTCGAACTTGCGGTGAGACATCCTCGGCTCCTCCTCCTCCTTACCTGCAGGACATCAACAAACCCATCAGATCCACCGCGAGCTCAACATGGGCGGCTCGCAACCACGGCGACGAAATGGCCGCCGCTAGCAAGCAACGCGAGTCGAGGCGGACCCGCCCACGCCGTGTATTTCGAAGGTGACGGCGGCATACCCCGTGGCGCGACACCTCCCGGCCTCCCCCGGGTACGACTCCTCCCCATGGCGCCGCCTCCCAGTTCCAGGACGTGCAGACCGCCGCCGCATAGGCCGCGCGGGAGCTTGCCGCCCATGCCGCGCGGGAGGCGAGCACAACTAGATCCACGCGCACAGAAGAGATCCACCGAGGCTATGGAGGAGACGGCGTCGGCCAGATCTAGAGGGAGACGGCGCCGGCCAAATCTAGAAGAGGGAGACGTCGTCGCCGGCCAGATCTAGAGGAGGGAGATGGCGCCGGCCACATCTAGGTGGAGATGGCGGCGGAGGAAGGGAGAGAGAGGAGGGAGATGGCGCCGGCTACATCCAGGTGGAGGGGCGGCGGCGGAGGAAGGGAGAGAGAGGGGGCGGACTGCGGGTCGGGGTCGGGGCCTCGGGGCTGGGCGTGGGTGCGAACCTGAGTACTTGATTAGGCGGATTTCATAAATTTTTGGGTTTTAAAAAAACTGGCCATTACAATTTTTCAGCCCATTCGCTGATTGGTTTCTGAGCTGATAAGTTCGGTTAGTGCTGATTTGTTGTGAGAGAAAAATATTATTGGCTGCCTGATAAGCCCTGACTAAAACCAACAAGCGAACAGTTGAAGTTTGAAGATGCACCACTACAATTCGCCTATTCAGAGAACTGCCATTATAATTTCGTCTATCGTTGTTCCATGCCATTTTCTACGCTTCCTGTGTATATGGGCCCATTGTCAGGCACATATACGTACGGGAAAGTGTATGGACGTTAAGTCCCATGCTCCTCCGTTAGACATGACCGTGCTCCTCGGTCTGCTCCGGCTCCTGTTGTAGCGGCAACGCTGGACTCAGAGGAAGAAGACGGGGTTGTTGGGGCTTCCGTTACTACACCACCGTAGGGGCTGTCGGGGCTTCCTGCGCCGTGGAGATGCGCCATGGACCGAGGATTCTCGCGCCCGTCGGGCGCCTGAGCATGGCGGGACCTCGCTTCGCGCCATGGCCATGGCCGAAGCTCGCCTGGCGGCCCTCGCCCCCTCGCCGCTGTGGTGGTGGCTGAAGCCCGCCCTTGTCGTGGTCGTGTTCGCCCTCTTTAGGGCTAAGCTCACCCACGCCATGGCCAGAGCCGAGCTCGCCTGGCGACGTCCCCATCCCCTTGCCGCACCATGACCGGAGCCCACCCTTGGCATGGCCGTGGTCGCCCTCTTCGGGACCGAGCTCGCCCGGCGCGGCATCCCCGTCCCCTCGCCTCGCGCCAAGGACGGAGCCCGAGCCGGACGCCACTTCGGAGGAGCCGCCCGAGCCGACGCACCGCCGAGGAGGAGGATCCCGGAGCCGACGACGAGACCCCCTCTCCGCCGGTCTTATCTTCCCCGAGACCGACTGTCGGTGCAAAAAGTGACCAACACGTAAATATTTATAGTTTTGTTGTACATTGTGATAGGATGTGGCCTAGCACTCAATGACATCGAGGTTATACTGGTTCAGGTAATATGCCCTACGTCCAGTTTGAGTCGGTCGGTGACTTTATTTCTGGGTCCAGGTGCTCGAAGTTTGCTGTGGGATTACAAACGAAAGGGAGAAAGATGGGGGTGCAACAGGTCCGGTCGGACTCTGGTCTGAAGGGCCGAGAGTGATGGGAGCTCCGTTGTGTGCTACGTGTTTGAGCATGCGCTCGAGGTTTTAAACCTAGTGGTTATGTTGTGGTGTTTGAGTGAACAGATGAAGGGGACGGCCTTACAAGCGAGAAAGAGAGAGAGAGAGTACGCATGCTATTAAGTCTTGTTGCCCACGCCGTCGAGTACAAGATGATGATAGGCGCCCATAACACTGTTGTTGTCAGACGCATGTGGGAGGTTTTACCGTATTTACCATGTATGGTAGATGACGGCGCCCACAACACTGTTGATGTCCAGAGGCATGTGGGGAGCCTTACCGTATTTGTCTGGTATGGGAGTTGATGGCGCCCACAACACTATAGGGCAAATGTCGACGCCCACAACACTGCTTGGGTTCTAACATGCTAGGAAGGTTGCGGGGTACCCTTCTAACATGCTCTGTTAGTACTGTCCTGCAGGTGTACATGGTACGGTTCTCGGTATTACGGTTTGACTTGAGTGCCCTACCTTACTTTCTCTATCCGTTTCTTGGTCCTCACCAAGCGGGTGTCCCCGGTCGGTTGGTCCCAGTCAAAGAGGAGCTATAAGCAGGGATTCGGCGTATCCCCGGTCGAAGACGCGGGTCAGAGTCAGAAGTGGTGTTTGGCCAGGCCTTCCGATCGGAGAGGCCGTTAGGAGGCGGGCCGGAGTTGGAAGCGAGCGTTGTTCCTCCATAGCGAGGCCTTTCGGTCGGAGAGGCGGGACAGAGTTGGAAGCGGGCGCCGTTCCTCCTCGGCCAGGCCTTTCGATCAGAGATTGGATCGCCCTTCTGGCCTGTCGTTTAGGTATTAGGGTTGGCCCAGGAGTTGCGCATCGTTCACAAAGTTGTGTGCTGGGTCAAGCCTTTGCTAGGAAGCCAATCCATGAGGGACCCCGGGTTTATGAACCCGGCAGGAGCCCCCGAGCCCCTGGACGATTTGGGTAGAATCGTCTGGGGGATTTTTGTCTTTACGGTGGGTGCGCGCGAGCGCACCCATGGGTGTAGCCCTCGAGCCCCCCGGTGATTTGGGTAGAATTATCTAGGGGTTTTTTTACGTTGCTAGCGGGGGAATTTTGTGTTTCGTCAGCGGGTGCGCGTGAGCGCATCCGCGGGTTGTCGACGAAATATGGTCGGCAGTCTACCTAGGGGTATGCCCAAGGTAGTAGATTATCGGCAGCAGACAGTGCGCAAGTCCCAAACAAGGCGGTGGCGCAAAGGCAGGACCACGAGGTTTTATCGAGTTCGGCCGCCAAGAAGGCGTAATACCTACGTCTGCGTCGATTTGTATTCTTTGTATGTCAATGAGAGATGATTTTAGAGGGTCCCCGCCCGCCTTATATAGTCGGGGGCGGGGTTATAGATCTGAAACTAATCCTAGTCGGTTACAATTGCCATATGTGGCGGATAAGGATTCCTATTCTAATCGACCGAGGATCTGCTTGGTGCGCAAAAAAATCTTGATTCCTTGTGCGGGACTCGATCGAGTTAAGCTGGGCATACGTCATCTTTCGGGTGGACTAAACCTATCGATCCGAGCCAGCCCAAGCTTAGCCGTAAGGGTATAGGGGTTAATACCCCCACACAGCTAGTCCCCGAGCATCATGTATTATCTTGCGACCGCCATTTTAACCTTCTCCAACAAGCAAGGCTTGAATTCTTGATGCCTCCGACCACCGTCATCACGGAGAATGGGTTGTCCAGAAGAATGTATGGTGCTCTTAAGAAAAAAAAAAAAGAGATTGTCACGAGAAGTGTGCCCACTTGTATTTACGAAAAGAAATGTAAGTGGTCAAGCTTATAACATCCTTAAACATCGAGCGTGAGGGTTGAAAAATAAACACATTCACCGCAAGGTGAAGTGTGCCCATAGTCCCCGAGCTTCTTTGGAAGGCAAAGTATGAGCCTTGTAGCAAGGTCTAAAAGAAAAGTCTCTTAGCTGTATGTGAGTACAAATCACATGTAGCCAAGGAGAACCATTATTCAAGCGGTGGTGTCAGGCGGGTCCCGAGCATACTAATAATCCTCATAACCATTCAAAACACAAGGGTCAATTTAATCGGACACATTCACACATAAGGTGAAGTGTGCCCACATAGTCCCCGAGCACGGTAGTAGGTGGCCTTGAGGCACGTGGTGCGAGGTCTAAAAAAGAAATTCCATTTGAGGTTAAGAATCCAATTGCCGTCTGAGGCGATACAAGATACTGCCGGGCGGGTGCATCGTCTGCCGATGTAGTCCGGAGCATCTTTGGAAAGCGAAGTATGAACCTTGTAGCAAGGTCTAAAAGAAAAGTCTCTTAAGCGTATGTGAGTACAAATCACATGTAGCCAAGGAGAACCATTATTCAAGCGGTGGTGGGCGGGTCCCGAGCACGGCCGTGGTCAGGCGATCCCCGAGCACATTAGTGGTGCAAGTATCCAGCACACAGTGAGTGGTGCATGCGGTCCCAAGAGCACATTAGCGGTGCAGGCAAGTATCCAAGCACGATGAGTGGTCAAAACAAATCCACGATCACTTGCGCCGCTTGTACTATTACTTTGTGTACTTTTCTCTATTCTCTGCCAAGACCGATCGACACGTCTGGTCAAAAAAAAGTCAATAGGTGCGATCGTCATTCATTTTTTTTTTTTTGCAAGCAGTTGGTTGACACTTTTTGTATTGAGGTGTGTCGGTGTGGGCCTCCTTACACCGTCAGCGAGGAGGCGCGTACCTGCTGTTAATGAAGTATGCGTTTATTGGCATGATTTCGAGGTTGTGTGAACAACCCTCTGCTGGCAGCGTCATACGACTCCCAATATTCTCGGGCGGACGAAGCAGCGGTGCTCGTTGTTTTATATAATGCAGATCGTAAGCTACTCATACCGTTCCCCATTGTCATCCGCGCGCGCCTTCTTCTTCCTCTGCCGAACCCTATCACCAATCCCCTCGGTCTCCTGCATCCACCCACTTAGTAAGCACGAACTAATGGCGAAGAGAGGCGCCGGAAGAAAAGCGAGGTCATGGCGAAGGAATGGTGGAAATCGCGAACAACAAGCGGAACCATCGAGGACCCTCGTCGCCATGGGGGTGCTCCACGACAAGGCACTTGCGGGATGGCGTGCACGGTAGGGAGAAAGCTTCCCGATCCACATCCGGTGAGATTGTGGTCTTTGAAGATTTCTTCAAGCGGGGTTTTGGGATTCAGTGCACCCTTTCCTTCAGGGTCTCTGCTTGTACTACGAGATTGGGATTTGCAATCTGCATCCCAACTCGATTCTTCTTGTCTCCACCTTCATCCATCTCTGCGAGGCTTATGGTGGCTTCTAGCCCCATTTCGACCTCTTTTCGCCACCTATTACGTCTTGGAAGAAAGGGAGGCGGTGGCTCGAAGATCGCGGTGGCGTTTTACGAACTGCGTGGCGGCATGAAGGCTCAATACACCTGACCCCTGGAACACCTCCTTGGACGAGTGGTACAAGAAATGGTTCTACATCCGTGAAGAG